AGTCCAGCACTCTGAGATTATTTAACCCTGATCACATGTGACGTGATGTATTCACCTAATGGCTAACTCCCATCGCTCAGAGTCGCACAAAGCACAAAGCAAGCAACATTTGGATGCAGGTAAACTACTCAAGCAAGTTTGTTCTCATAGAGAGAAATTGTACTGGTATACAATGCTAAGCTCATACTATCAAGCATAACCTAAACAGGTTATCCTACTGCTGTCTACTCAACACTAGCATGCAATTCACATAAGCTGAAGCACATAAATCAGGCACATAAGGCATCACTCCTAGATCCTTAGTCCTATTCTAGCATGTTGTTCTACTGAAACTGATAGACATAACATAAACTTGTATGGGTACTTTGGGGAATACTTACTTGAGCTCGGCTGGTCGCGCACATCACACACTTCGTTCTTTATTAAAACTCCTTACTTAATCTTTTATAAAACTTTTTTCTTTTTCGAAATCCTTTAATCCCTCGATTTGAGTTCAGACATGCCTGAAGGTGTGTCCGAATCCCTCAAACCAGGGCTCTGATACCAACTTGTAACGACCCAATTTTTCAAGTCCAAAAATTTCATTTTCAATTAAACACTTTGTAAAACATTTGTGAATAAACAACATTCGACCATATCATTTCTTAAAACATATTTCGTGTCTGCAACCCAAAACATAAATCATAATAATGTCAGAGTACAAATCCCAGAATATCTCATCATGCGGAAAACGAGAGTGTATGTATGATGTGCCGCTACTGCGCCAGCTCCTTCCCTTCGCTGAAGAGGTACCTGAAACGAAAACTGTAAACTGTAAGCACAAAGCTTAGTGAGTTCCCCCATCGTACCACATACCATACAATCATATAGCATACATACTGCCGGGAAATTCTGGGGTGTCCGACCTACCCGGTGCGGCCATTCTAGGGTGTCGACCTACCCGTGCGGCCATTATGGGGTGTCATCCTACCCGTTTCAAGCCATTCTGGGTGCTGACCTACCCATGTCAGGCTATTCTGGGGCGCTGACCTACCCGTCGGTCCTAACAACCGCACCTGGGGACTATTACCCTCCTACTACCCCTATCACATATAACATATCATGCCAGCATACAAACATACCATCACATACTGTCAAACATATCTGGGGTGCCTGACCTACCCTTCGGTCCTAACAACCGAACTCTACTACTATCACATATAACATATCATGCCAACATTTAACATATCAGGTAGTAGTAAACCTAGATGATATCACAAAGACAATCATCTAACATACAACTCCTACTTGTGGGCCGACATTGTGGCCGTAGACTCACCGCTACTGGAAGGTAACTCACCTCGAAAAGTGACTGCTGAAAGTCTGCTTGCTAGACGACTGACTGCTGCACCGGCAATCCTCAGGCTATTAATCCATAAGCATAGATTAGTCACTCCTAAATACCCTTAGGTCAAATGACTGACCTACCCCTGGTCCAAGGTCAACTCATTGGTCAAAGTCAACTTCCAGTTGACTGGACTCGCCGAGTCATGGCACAAACTCGCCGAGTCCCTCTCCTACTCGCTTCAAAATCCTCACCAGAGCATCCATCTTGAGGATTTGGGTTTCTGGGATTTGGGTTGGACCTTCTACTCTTAAACCCCTCTTAACTCAGTAACAGTTCATATGACTCGCCGAGTTTGAAGAACAACTCGTCGAGTTGCAGGCAATCTTCAAAGGACTCACCGAGTTGTTCATCCAACTCGTCGAGTCTAAGACCATCTTCATAGAACTCGTCGAGTCCACTTTAGAACTCGCCGAGTCCACTTTAGAACTCGCCGAGTCCCTTCAACCCTCCTCCCATGCAGACCAAATCTGAGACATGCAACGGTTCAAAACCATAGATCTAAGCTCCTAGGGTATGCTTATCACATAAATTTGCAAACTTTACGTGCATGCATGGCCCTATGAGCTCCAAAAGGCAATTCCAAGCTCTTTATGAGGTCATACACTCAATAGGGACCTCAATCACTTCAACCATAGAGACTTTACACTTCTAAGGTGTCCATAAGGTCCAGATCTGAAGTCCTTTCAGAACATAGAGCATAACTACATGGGGTTTGAGGTTTTAGGGCTTGAAAACCATCAATTAGGGACAAAAAGGGGATCTAATGAACTAGTGATCAAGGTAGAAACTTTTCTACCTGAATGGAAGCTTCTCACAATGTAGGTTTCGGATATACTTCCCCTCCTTGCATTCTTCAACCTCCTCCTTCTTCTTCTAAGATCCAAACTTCCTTCACCAAGCCAAAAATCACTCACAAGAACAATATGGGGGCTAGGATTTCGCTCTACAGCTCTCTGAAAGTGTTAGGGACAAGGGAGGCCGAGTTAGAGTGTTTAAATAGGGTGCAAACATCCTGGTTAGGGTTTTACTCGTCCAACATGGACTCACCGAGTCTGGGACCCGACTCACCGAGTCCCTCACTTAAATCCCGTGCCAAAATCGCTCCTACTCGCCGAGTCGGGCCTCCAACTCGCCGAGTCCAAGGAAAAATGAGAAAAATACATAAACATGAATCGTACTAGGAATCCGGTGTTACAGCTGAATAGGTTTAGCATGCAGAATTCCAAGAAAGGAGAGTTACCGATCCAAAGTAACGCCAGACTGAGTAAGACTCAGAGCCCGAGTACAAAGGTTGAGATAGCTGAGATGATTCGAGTATTGTATGCTTCTCCTGTAGGCTTGATCATGTATGTTATGACTTGTACTCGTCCTGATGTGGCCTTCACATTGAGCATGGTCAGCAGATATCAGGGGAACCCTGGCAAGACTCATTGGACTGCGGTAAAGAACATTCTCAAGTACCTTCGGAGGACTAAGGATTGGGTCCTTACCCTCGGTGGGAGTGATGACTTGAGTGTAGTTTACATGAGTTTATACAATAGGTTGAAATACACCCCACAGTGGGGCCCACTATTATGTGGTTGGGTTTGATTTTGAACAATTGATGTTTTGAATATTATGACTTGGTGTTTGATTTTGAACAATTGATGAATAGTTTTGATATACTTCCAAATGAAATTTTTTGTTACTGTTTTTGGGATGTTACACTCTCTATCTCCTTTCGTCGTTGGTGAAACTTGGTCGGATGAACATATATGGTGAAAATGAAGAATACGAAGGGCAGCAGGTGAACATACTTCGACATTGGATGTGGTTTTGGTAGTTAGACGACAGTGCTCCGACGAGAAATGTGGTGCTCTGGCAGCTAATAAATAGATAGAGAGAGATGGGGAGGGAGAGATATAGTATGTTAAAAGTGAGAAGTGGGTTGAGGGTTGAATTTTATTTTTAATTTTTCTTTTAATAAAATAAACATTAAAGTAATTAAAAAATGAAAAGAGAAAATATCAATGGCAAAATCATCAGTGTAAAAAAGTTCAAAACAAATTGGACTAAACTCGCAATAAAATAAAAAGCTAGTCCAAACATTTTTTTTTTTTGACCAAAATGGCAAGTTTTGTCTAGATACTAAATTATGAAACTTGAATGAACTCATGGATATGGACGAGTACCCAAACAAAATACGTTCATCAAATTCCGGTTCGAATTTAGTATTTAGGATATGAGGATAGGCAACACATTGAATTTGAAATAATATGCTTTATTTTTGTTAGAACTTCATAAGAGTCTTGAAATGCCTCCTGAACATGATTGTTTTGGATCTAACAAGTTGTGTTGAAAGCTTCAACTAAAACTTTAGGCTTAGACTTTGCTTCGACCAATAGTATAATCTGATATCAATAGCTAAATGGTCGACGAATTAAAATTTAATAAAAATAATGATTTGATCTTTTTTTTCCTTGTTTATTGGTTTTATTACTTACTTATTTTCATTAAAATCTCATTATTTTACCATAATTTACGAATAGATCTCAAACTAAAATTTAGTAATGATTCATTACTTACTTATTTCCATTAAAATCTCATTATTTTACCATAATTTACGAATAAGTCTCAAACTAAAATTTAGTAATGATTTAACCATTTTCTCCCTGCAACATACATATTATCCGTTTCATTACTGACCTTGGACACATAGTCATTAAATAAGTTGATGAGATGGAAATGTTGGGTTATATAATGTTATGTTTACTATAAAACTTGATATCCTTATGTGTTGTATATTTTTTGGAACATAAAATGCATCAACCAAAAAGTGCAACAACGTTGTTATTTTTAAAGTTCATAAAAATTTTCAAATTGTCTATAAAGTCTTATATGTACATCTCATTAGCACATTTCGAGTCTTTTTCCCCAGAAACACATATTTTACCTGTTTCATTGTTGAACTTGATACATAACCATAAATGAGCTGATGAGATGGATATCAAATTTTACGATAAACTTAGCATTATATAACTCATCATTTCCATCTTATCAGATCATTTAATCACTAAGCATCCAGGTCAACAATGAAACCGGTAAAATATATATTACATGGAAAAAAAATAATCAAATCATCACTTAATTTTGGTTTGAGACTTATTCGCAAATCATGATAAAATAATGGGTCTTTAATGAAACCCGATAAGTAATGAAACTCGAAAACCAGGAAAAAAAAATGGTTAAATCGTCATTTTTACAAGTAATTCTTGCTTTTTCGTAGTTTAAGATTTTTTTATAAATTAAGCTAAAATATTATAACTATTTTGGAAATTTAGGAGAAAAATGATGATAATTTTGAAACTTTGATGATTAAAAAGTCAATGCTCCTTGAAGATTTTAAAAATCAAATAAAAAAGCGAACATCAAAGGGTTTGTAGCCCAGTGGTATCGGGTGGTGCCCTCCTTCTTTGAGGTCGAGGGTTCAAGTTCCGTCGTGGACATAAGTAGAATAAGTTTTGTTAGCTTAGGAGTAGATTAGATTTGCCGGTTAAAATAAAAAAATAAAAAAAATAAAAAAAAAAACTAATGGAATCATATTAGTTCACCATCTTATGATCCTAGACGTTAGGTTTGATCTTGCAAAACCGATCATATTGAAACGTTTTATGATCTATTGAAACTTATATGTTACAAAAGACTAATAATATTTGCGATCTATATATTTCTATAAGATATTATTAGTTCACCAGTAAGCGTTTCCCACGTAGAAAAGCGATAATGTCTTAACTGTTAAAGTAATGCTTCCTGCTTTTTTTTGGATATAACCTTTTTCATATGAACTTCCCGTTTCCCTAATTTCCCCTTCCATTCTCCTCTTCATCATTTCACTAGAATCGCCTACAGATCTATTTAATTTCAGTCTAAGAAATGGGTGATAAGTACAATATGAAGAATCCGTCGGTGAAGAGGATTTTACAGGAGGTGAAAGAAATGCAATCGAATCCATCTGATGATTTCACGAGCCTTCCTCTTGAGGTAATTCGATTACAATTCAGCAATTCTACAATATAACCTATCGTCTTTTCTCTTCCTTTATAGATCCATCCGAATAATCTGTTTCTTCATTTGATGATTACGTTTAATTCCGCTTGAATTTCGTTTCAGTTTAAATCCGAGGTGGATTTGATTTGTTAAGAAAACATCCCACTTCTTTGAGTCTCTATCTTTGTAGCTAAGTGTGATTACTAATTGTTCTCAGTTATCACTTAACTTTAGGGTTTTCATGACCTCAAAGCGTCGAATTATCTGCCATTTTACTCCAGTTTTGATAGTGATTCATATAGTTATAAAGGAATCCTTACTGAGGTTCAAAAAGCAGGGAAGTTCTAATTTTGTAAATCATACATGGTAGTTTAGGTTGTTCTCTCCTTCAAATGAGTTTGAGGGGTTTTGATAATCAGTTTATACACTGATTATTCTTATTATTATTCTGACTTTTTGGTTACTTAGGGTTAAAATAATTAAATATTGAGAAACAACAAGTCTTTGTCATTTCCTTCATTGGAAATGCTTCCAAGATTTAATAGGAAAAAACACACAAATAGAATGGTGTTGGTCTTAAATTTGTTGCAAGATTTAAACCATCTTTGGGTTCAAATAGATTTGTCATTAAAGTGTTCGTTTTTATTTATTATTTTTGCAGGAAAATATATTTGAATGGCAGTTTGCAATAAGGGGACCAAACGATACCGAATTTGAAGGAGGAATTTATCACGGCAGAATTCAATTGCCTTCTGAATACCCATTCAAACCACCATCATTTATGTTGTTGACGGTGATATTTGATATTTTAATTTTCCACAAAAAAAATAAAAAAAAAAGCACTTCTACTTTTACTATTTAGTATTTAGTAATTAGTATTTACCCACTGAGAATAAGTGTAATGATTTAAAGTGATTTCCATTGTTTCAGCCAAATGGACGTTTTGAAACTCAAACCAAGATTTGCTTAAGCATATCAAATCATCACCCTGAGCATTGGCAGCCATCATGGAGTGGTAATTTATTTATTTATTTTTTTGCATAATAAAAATAAATGTGAGTTAACTTAATTATGTTGCAGTTAGGACTGCTTTAACAGCGCTTATAGCATTTATGCCTACAAGCCCAAATGGAGCTTTAGGATCATTGGATTACAAAAAAGAAGAAAGGCGTCTTCTCGCACTTAAATCTCGTGAAAGCGCCCCTAAATATGGTACTCCAGATCGTCAAAGGCTCATTGATGAGGTCATCAATCGCATCCTTAATTCTTCTTCTGAATTTTAATTTCAGTAAAGTTCACTAAATATCTTGTGATTCTTCAGATTCATGAATATATGATCAGCAAAGCACCACCGGTCCCTCAGCAGACCTCTCAAGATGCTATTGCTTCAGAACAACCACCACCACCTGCCGCCACAGAATCCGCCGGTGAAGCTCCGGAGACTTCTCAAAACACCACCACGGAGATCACCGAAGATGAAAATGAAGAAAACCATGAGGCTAACACGGAAGCGGAAGACCCTAGGGTATCAAAACATGCTGTACCTTCTGCATCGTCTGTTGTACACACGGTGGAAACACGGCGGCCTGAGGTGGTGAGGGTTCAGAAAAGCTCCGATGACCGCCTGTTCACGTGGGCGGCAGTTGGGCTGACTGTTGCTATTTTGGTGCTTCTTTTGAAGAAGTATATGAAAGCTAGCGGATATGGTGCGGTTTTTGTTGATGAATCATGAAATATTAATAATAATTAAATCTCTGATTCATGATTATTACTCTGTGTGTTGCCATTTATGATATATGGTATAATTACAGGAGATTTAATAATAATAATAATAATAGTATGTATATGAGAAAATGAATGATTTAGTATAGTGAGAAATGGAATCGATGGATATGAGGTGTAATGTTTTATTGAGTTGTACCTTATGCAGTGGAAGTTGTATTGGAATCGGTAAAATATTTTGTATAGAATATGGCATGCCTTATGGAAAGTTTCTTATGGAAGGAGTTGATCGAATTGCATTAGATCATGTTTTTAAATTTTAATGATTCAAAATATGCACTTTTCTTTATAGTTATTAGAGAGTGATCCTTAAAGTCCCCAGTTTCTAAATCTGGTGTCTAATTCTTGGTCTCGTTTCATTTTTGTCTTGGGAAGATATATAAAATACACAATTATCCGAATTCTTTTTATCAAATTTTAATAAAATTTTTGCTAATCATATATTTGTTGGCGTGTAATTTATAGTATCATTTTGGAAATTGGTTATGTGGTTTATCTTCTTTTAACTCATGATTATCAGTTCCATCCCCAGAACACATAGTAAACTCACATACGAATTTATTGAAATAAGTCATTAAAAAAAAATTGTTATTATACATACAAATTTTACATTTTTATTCTAGCAAGTTTTCATAATATAAAGTTTTTTAGAACATTAAAAAAAATAACAAATTACATATAATAATGGGAAAAATGATCATTTTATCATAACTCCGAATATTTGAGCCTAACTTTATGTTGTATTCAAAGTGATTTTATTGACAAAAGTTAAAATTTCAGATTGACACTCTAGATTTCGGAAAAAAAATAAAATAAAAATAAAAACTATTCCAGAATCTCAGTACGATTGAGAGCATGCTTCGTTTAACAAAAAGTGAAAAAATATAGCAAATAGAAAGTAAATACGATACAAAGACTTAAAATGTGATATTTAATTACATATTTAGAAATAATTATTTCGTATACTGGCAAAATGAGTTTCTGAAAAGTGTTGAAACAAACGACAGAAAATATATGTTATATATTTAATTCAGTCTAAAACGCCTCCATCCACACTCACTCGGAGTGGGAGACAAAGGTCAAATACATTTATTATAAACAAAGAATTAATCATTTTTATTAATATCCCATGGTTATATTTTAATAAAATAATAATTTATTAAAAAACATATATACTATTATATCACTAAATTATTAATATACATATTAAGGATATGAACGACAACAAGCTCTTAAGAAATCTTTTAATTTTTTTTTTTAAAACTCGAAATAAAAAAATAAAAAAATGTTGAAGAATTTTACTCAAACCCTTCTATACAAATAAAAGCTACGGCTTCCAGCTTTAGCATATACACAAATTTGAAAAAAAGATTTGATCCATTTTCCCAATTTTTTTGTGTGGAGGTTGGTAAGTGATAGGTTATATAAATAAGAATTAAAAGTAATTCTACATGATAAATTTATTAACGAAACAAAGATAATCACAAAGGACTTCTTAATAAACACAACCAAAAAAGCAGAAACGTGGCATTATTTGATATCTTTTGATGGGGCCGCTTATGCATCTGCATGCTTCACGACTTCACGACAGTTACGGGGCAAGAACTATGATTCACTACATAGTTGCTCACACTGCCCAAAATAGCCCTGCCAATTCAACCAAACACCATATATAAGCAAAATGGAAGATATAGCAACCAACTTTTATCGATAAAACTAGTTGATAAGCTAGCTGAAATATGTAAACTACGTAAAAGGGCATGTAAAAGATTTTTTTTATTAAATAATAAAGGATATATTTAGAGAATTAAAAAAAACTCAATAAATTCATTAAAACGCAAGTCTGAGTAGCTTTTAAAAAAGCTAGTTTATTAGCTTTTTTTTTAGTTTACCAAACATGACAATCTAAAAAAACTCAAAATATAAGCTAGCTTTTAAGCCTGTTGTGTCATGCCAAATATAATCTTAAACTCTTAATTAATGAAAGTAGGATGCTATCAATGTAAGCTATTTTTGCATTTTAACAATGTGAATGCATAGAGTACCCAACATCACTCCATTTTGTAAAATCGAAATGGCATTTTGGAAGTTTGACAAAGAGTGAAATACATAATAGCACAATCTACTTTCATCATTGTAACAATTTAGACAAGTATTCACAATAGGGCTGAAACTATATATATATTTTTTACGGTTTAAAAGGCTATTTATTTTTCCTAATTACCGGTTTAGAAAAATAGCAAAATACAAAAAAGCAAAACATACTTTTAACCATTTTATTGATATTGGCTCCAAACTAATATATAATTGTCATAAAAATAGACAAAATCGATAAATATGATGAAAATATATTGTGTTTTTCTGTCTTTAATGGTGATGTCAGAAAACGGTTTTTTATTGGTAAAAGAAAGTAAAGTGATGTTAACTACAATAGAAAATTATTTAGTGGCAAATTAATGTACAAGTGTAAATATTTTGTTATATTAGTTACCTCTTTAACTTGCCAAGTCCTCGGTTCCCGACAATAAGACAGTCTAACGGGATATTATCAACCGCTTCACATAGTTTCTCTCGAGCATCTCCCCAAAAGATTTTCAGTAGAACCTCAACCTGCACCCATGTGTGTGTATATTATAGAAATTCTAACGCCTTGTTTCTTTTTTTAATTTCAATTAATTAACTAATCGTGTGGATAAGTGATGATTAAAAATATTATAGAAATTCCAGCCAAATTGATTAAATAGAGAGTTTCTTCTTTCTTGCATGATGTGGAATTTAACGGGGGTTGAATGGCTTGTTGTTAAAATTGATTAAATAGAGAGAGTTGCAGGGCCATTGAACCATTCAATGAGTAAATAATCTTTTTTAAGTAAATATAAAATAATTTAAACCGTATTATTAGTAATTTAATATAGACCATTATAACTGACTAATATCATTATCTAATGGAAAACCACAATGATTCAACCAATCACAAATTTTCAATTGTTTTTATTTTGTTATGTAAAATTTTAATTAATGTATTTTATGATATCATAATATTTAAATATAGTTATAAAGTGATATAGATATACAAAATAAATAAACAGTATCCTTATATGGAAATCCGTTGAACTTTCAAAAAAAAAAAAAAAAAGGTAAGGTTACCTCTTTCTGAGTTGCAGCCAAACTAACGATTTCTAGTGTTTCAGGGTCAGGCTTCGTCCCATATTTCTTGGTCACAAGCTGGGGATCACGAAACTCCGATAACGGGATCAAAGCTGTAAAGATAAGAGGATCACATAAACATTATTTGAAGCAAACTAAAACAAAAAATCAACAATAATTAACAAATTATCTGACAAATCGAATCGATTTATTCCAAGAAACAAAAGCGTCATCAAAAAGAGATAGCCACTGATCATTAGGTAATCACACGGAAACGAAGCTACCAGTGAATGCACGAAAACCACTCAAAAGCGTCATCAAAAATAAAATTATACTAGAAAACGAATGTATACATGGTAATCGACTCTTTTTAATTCCTTTTCTACATAAAAAAATAAAAAATAAAAAGTTGTGGCTGCTGAATATTATAATAATAATAATATATGACAAATGGAATCAAAAATCTTGAAAAAAATAACGATAATGATGAAGAAGTAAACACACAATTAGGAATGAAAAAGGAAGATCATGCGTATTTTTCCTAACAAAAACTCATAATTAGCACTTGAACACGTTTTAATCACACAATCTTTTCTTCAAAAATACGAATCCAGCAAACTCAAACAAAAGTTTCATCACTGATCCCACATACACACGCACACACACAGACAAACAAAAGTTGTGGCTGCTGGATTATAATAATATAAGTAATATAATATGTGGAAAACGGAATAGATAGAAGAAAATTAACGATGATGATGAGTTGAAGAAACACATGAATGATAAATGATAATGAGGAATTGAATTAACATACGAGATCCGGTGACTTCCCAGAGCTGGATCTCGGTTCCTTCTTCACGGCCTTCAGGGAGAATGTTGACGAGGATGAGATGATCGCCTTTCTTCAAAACGTTATCCACCGCCCATTTCACAGCGGCTCTGCTACATGCCGAGAAATCCATCGCAACTCCGACCCTTCTCGCCTCCCCCATCTCCTACTTTCTCTTTCTCTTTCTCTTTCTCTCTCACGCACTCAAACACCCAATTGCTTCTCTCTCTCTAAAAACACAAGTGTTGTGTTGTATGTCGTGTCGGAGAATTTGTGTGGTTGTCCGGTGGATGATTTGTAATATATATGATGAAAAGTTATTCGGTGTGATGCGACTCATGGACTTACTCATAGGTCTTCTTTTGAGTTTGTATATCACGAAACATTATTAGTATGTTCTTGTAAAATTAGTAGATATTTTATAATTTATACACTAATTTTATATGTGTGAAAATATTAAGGAAAAATAGGTGTAAGTTTTTGAATATATATGTTAAATGTATACAAGATAGAAACTAAAAGTTAATTTTTTTTAAATGTTGTTAGAAGCAGGCTTTTGAATTAAAAGCGTTTTTTAAGTACGTATTATGGAAAAAAAAAATTGTGTTTTTTTATAAGTTATGTTCTTCTGTTTATAAATTGGTAAACTGTATCATTAGTGTATCATTTGAGACTCCCGCGATATTTTTGTGTTTATATTTGATTACGTTAAAGAAAGTATTTCTGTATTTTAATTATAGGCATGACGGTTCAGGAATCAAGCTTTTTTTATATCTAAAATGCTCGTAAAAATAATGGATATGATATTTTATTGACAAGTGTAAATATTTTTTTTGTATTTGGTATACACTAGAAAAAGATAAACGTTAAGAATATCAGATATCTCTAGAAATATTGTTTTTTTCTTTACGCTGTATAGTCTATGAACTAAATGACAAAAAAAAAATGACAAGCAAGCAAAGTTGTGTATATGATAATATTCGATGGCTTAATTATTAAAGGACAAAGAACAAGTGGTATAACCACTACCAGGTTGCCTAATTTCATTGACAATATTCGTTTACTTATTTAAGCACTAGAAATAAAAGATTAAACTACGTATTTCCAATACTTTAATCTATTATTTATTATTGATCAAAGTTAGTTATTAGTTTTAAGTGATTGCATCTATTTAGGATATGGCAACGTCTAACAACGAAGAAACAGTCATTGTAGGCTTAAAATTAGCACCCAACAGAGGAGCAAGAAAATCGCTAGTACATACGATTTAATGTTAAACCACGTCAATGGGGGTATATATAGGATGCTAGAAAACATGCAATAATATTTGGCGAAAGTGAAAG